GGATCTGCTAAAATCAGGTTTATTTTAAAATCCTAGTGGTAGAGCTTGGTATTCTGATTCTGCGTGCCCCTCCTAAGCTGTTTGTGCCTATGTATTACAAACGCAAAGGAAGAAAAGTTACTTTTCTGATTTACCAGTATAAATGGCTTCAGCTCTTAATTTGCGGGTGTTAGTGGCAGCAAGCAGAGGCAGCTGGTTCTCATCTGTGCACCTGTAGAAATAGCGTGGTCTTTATAACATTGAGGCTGAGTGAATTCACCGGGGCCTGGATCGCCTCATATTTGCCATATCTTTCTATATTTCCTATAAGCCTGTTAATGGTCACTGTGGGTTACAGAGAGGTAGGCAGCCCCTCAGTTGGAGCCGATGTCACCGCTATGGTGAGATCCAGGCTTTTGGATGCAGCCCTTCAAACTGAAAGACACTGCTGAGATGAGTATTACTGGCTCTGCTGGCGCTTATGGGACTGGTAGGATGTAATAGGCATAAGGGCTGCACAACAGGAGATCACTCAAGAGTCTTCTGTGTGATTTACAGCGACCAGTTGCTCTCCAAATGTCTTTGAAAGTGCAAAGTGCAGAAATAGAGTTATTTTAGGAGATTGTTTTCTCTACAAGAGTAGTGGTTATAACTCAGAATTTGGAGATCTAGAGTGGACACAGCTGCAATGGCAGAAATTGCGGAAACATCCTGCTTGTTTTTATTGGGTTTGTTCTGCAATCGAAGCCCATAAATGCTTTTTTATATATATAAAATATTATATTATATTGTATTATATATATATAAATGTATTTAATGTGTATTATAATAATAATAGTGTGTATAATGTACATACTATTAGGAAAGTAGTCAACTACTCTCCTTGGATCTGTAAATAGATACATATAGACATATATGCATATGTATATACACATATATAGCTGCTTCTTTAGCATTTAAGGAAGTGTAGACTCCCAACAGCCCAACCTGCCATTGGTGGGTGGTATTAAGCCATAGATCTGTGCATCACAGCACCCACGGTGCTGGGGGGCCCCTCTGGTCCAACAAAATGGGGTGACTGCAGTGACGGGAATGCTTTGCTGGGGGCCTCAGTCCCTCCTGGGCTGTGGGTCTGAAAGCTCCTGAGATCTGATACTGCATTGTGAAGTCCTGCCGCAAAGTCACATCTAAACAAAGTAGAGGCACCGTCAGATGCCTTTCATTGTGGTGGACTATAGAGCAGGAGATTATAAATCCCGTGGGATCAAGCAGGCATTGCTTAGAGGGAAAGATTCCCTCTACAAACACAAATATCTTGAAGATAGCAAAGGAAAGCAGGGGCTGACTAAACTCATATTTACATAGTATTCTCTCCAGACCTGCTGTGGTGTGGAAATTCCCCTGCAATGTCTGTGTATGAAAGTCTCTCGAGCCTTGTGTACATAGCACTCCTCTACCTGTTGGGATATGTGCAGGGAGCTTACGACTGGAATTAATTTAGTTGACATTTTGCAGTACGGCGCGGGGTTTAATCCTCATTTGATGACATTGCACTCTCTGCCTTCTTCTGCTGCCTGGGGAGTTACAGCCATGCAAATAATACCATTTCCCCTGGGGCGGTCCTGCGGGGAAGATATCATCTCTGACCGTGTGTTTGCAGCACCCAGCGGAGCTGCCTGGGATACTGGGTCCCACCAGTCACTCTCAGCGAAAGAGCTTGCCAATGTTTTCCTGGCCATCCTTGCACCCAACGGCGGACCCCAAGCCAAGGGCCATGGTCATAGAAATGGTGAATTCAGCTTAATTTTTAATGGGGGATGATGGGAGAGCTCAGAGTAAGGAAAACAAGGTTTTGATGGTGAAGCTGGCAGCTGTGATGGGAATACCCACGTGGGGCTGGGCAGCTCGGTTCGCCGGCCCCACCGAGCTCAGGGCAGTGCCCCAGGATAGAGGTGGCAGGAGGTCCTGCCATGACATCCCATGGACACATCCAGCCTGGCCGTGGCTGAGAGCGGAGGAGTGGGGGGCTGCGAGATGGGATGTGACAGCAAGAGCCAAAGAAATATGGGGGTAATAGCGCCAGGGAGGCAACGCCACTGTTATTAACACAAACACAGTCATCGCTCTGCCTTTGTCTCCCGATGAATCAGAGGAAATTGCCTCCCGAGCCCTTCGCCTTCCAGCTACTTCAGCTGTGTTTTGTTTCTCTAAGATTCAAATATTCTGACTAGATTTCAGCATATTATTATGAGAACAGAAGAGCTATAGAGAAAGTGAAGCTTCACAGAGGAAATAGCCAATAAATGTTGCTTTGAATTCACTTGCTTTTTATGGTGAGCTCTGATGTCAGGGACAGATATGGCTTTGGAAAAGATGTGTCGCTGTGCTGCAGATGTGTTTGTGAATACTTAGTGGACAATCTCCTGTGACATTGTAATGGGCAGCTTACCATTATCTATTAGATTTTTAAGCCTGTCATTTTGATGTGACTGATTTTTCTATTTAATATCTGTCCCCATGAACTATGAGCTTACAAAAGCAAGAGCACTCTTCTTTGTGTGGTGATCCTATCTGGTCAGATTAGCAAAATGTTTATTTGCATTTTGCAAAGAAGATTGGGCTTTGTAATGAAAATATGTATCAGGTCAAGTGAAAAATGTGATGGTTTGATATCAAAATCCTGGAATGGCTCATGATGGAGAGGGGAAGGCAAACTTCCAAAGCAGAAATCTTTAATTTTGGCACTTTCAAAATGTGGCATTTCATCCCTCTAATTTGCCGTGGGCTTTTTTTTCGAACATTTCTTTTGTTGAAAGCAAGCATGCAAACAAAAAAAAAACCTATTTAGAATTCAATAAAATGCTTCATTTGATCCTCTTCAGTTTCCTGGAAAAGTTCAACATGAACATTCAAGTACTGCATTTTTTCAAATTGTGGGGAAACTGCTGATCCATGAGTTGCACAGCTTTGATGTGCCAAGAGAGGGTCCTCTAAAAGCTACCGTAGTTCATATTACCCAGTAGGACCATCCCAATGAGCGTGAAAGCTCAGCCTGGCAGGTATGGTATGAGCACAGAGCCAAAGGCTGTCTGTCCTGTGAATCAACACAGAGTTAGGGAATATGGCTTTTGCCAGACCAGTTCAGTGATTTCTTTTAATGAGATTTATAAGTTCGATTGACAAAGGCAAAAGTATCGATACCCTCTATAGAATCATAGAATCATGGAATAGTTTGGGTTGGAAGGGACCTCTAAAGGTCATCTAGTCCAACCCCCCTGCTGTGGGCAGGGACATCTTCAACTAGATCAGGTTGCTCAGAGCCCCGTCCAACCTCACCTTGAAGGTTTCCAGGGATGGCGCATCCACCACCTCTCTGGGCAACCTGTGCCAGTGTTTCACCACCCTCAGCGTAAAAAATTTCTTCCTTATATCTAGCGTAAATCTACCCCCCTTTAGCTTAAAGCCATTCCCCCTTGTCCTGTTGCCACAGGCCCTGCTAAAGAGTTTGCCGCCATCTTTCTTATAAGCCCCCTTTAAGTACTGATAGGCTGCAATAAGGTCTCCCCGAAGCCTCTAGGCTGAACAACCCCAACTCTCTCAGCCTTTCTTCGTAGGAGATGAACATATATGTTCTTCTCTGTAGCATTTGAGTTGATTCTGCTAGGCACTTGTATTAAGAAACTAAACTAGGTCAGCCTTGTGGATTAAAACGTGCTAACCAGCAGGTCTCAGACCTATGGTCTTTAGTACGTAATAAATTGTAATGGATGACCATTGCCAGAGTACCACAGAAATAGTGCTGGCTGGGACCTTGCCTACTCAGTGTCTTCACTATGGATGGTGCTGTGCTGTTCCTGCTTGGTGTTTGCCTACTCTGTTCTCAGAAATTCTTCTGCTGGGGAAGCCCAGCCGAGGGGTGAGGAGCACATCCCACTGAACGGTCCCCTGAGCATCCGTGGTGCCCACGTGCATGTGTGTGCATGGGCTTCCACAGCTGGCCAAGACCACTCTGCCCATGTGGACAGAGAGGGCTGCATAGTCTGGAGGTGATGCATGGGTGCCCCAAAGCTGACACCCAGGGCACTGGAAGGTTTTGGGCTCCCTACATCAGTAAAACACCTGGAAACAGCCATCTCTTTTGACATTAAACAGGCTGAGCAGATGAAGGGAAGATGCAGACGCAATTAACCAGATATTGCAAACAGGAGGGCAAGTCGCTTTTTATGGCTAGTTTATGTTTCAGACACACAACTATACAGAATAATGCAATAACAAAAATCATGCAGTATTTACCCTGGGTTTATTCACTGCAAGTCCTTTGAGAGCTGCTTTTGTTTGTCTTTATTTAATTGGCATGGTCGGATGGCCACCAGCAGGTCCAATTAAACAGATTCAATAGATTCCACTGTACGTTTTTATTTTTTTCTTCATCAGCATGTAGCATAAAAATGTTCAGAATAATTTGTCTGAGTACTAGTAATGAATATAAAGTGCCCTCTGTTCCAGCCTGCATACAGTAAGTTTCAGCTGTACAGCGTTTTACAGCCAAAGCAAACTGGGTTAATAATGAAATCACTGATGCAATCTTTAGTACAGCCTTAGTGGGGACAAGAGTACCATTGCGTGTTACGATGCGAGGTATTTGGTTGCTCAACTTTGAGCCTATCTGAGCCCAGATAGGCATTATGCCATCTTTTTTAGCTATCTTAAGCTTTGGCGTTTAAGTGTTAGGTGGAAACTGTTTAAGAAAATCCCACCAATGGGACTTGGGCATGCCCTTAATATCAGGTATTTGTTTAAGTGCTTTGTTGAATTGAAGCCTAGTAGATCCTCTTGAAAAGAAAGTGATTTTCAATCTAATAAGGTTATCTTAGTGTGAACATTTTAACTACATCAATCAATATGCCCGTCAGGAGTAAATGAGTAATGGGATTTCTCTTTTCTTTCTTTCTTTGTTACCAGAATGATGAATTGACTTTGCCTGTTGCTGAAGATTCTCATCTCCTTAATGCATTGCAGATATGTCTAATGGACACAAGCTGTCAGGGTCTGGCAGTAACCAGTCCCAACCAAAAATATTTCCCCCTGGGACTGGTTCATCAGGTTCCAGCTCTGCTCTCACAGTGGAAAATGTGAAAAGGCTGGAAAAGGAGCACATGATTTCTAAAGAAGCCTTCAATAAGCAGAGAATACGAGATTATATTAAGCAGACTAATCTTGCTCGCTTCAGCAAAGAGACGACTAGGAAAACCAGCACAGAGCTTGTCTGGGATGCAGAGCCTGAAGGGGCCTCCTCATCCTTTCCCACAAAGCAGAGTGAAAATAGCAAAGTTTGCTGGAAGACCTCTGAAGAAACTTCAAGGAAAGAGAAGCTATTAACAGGTATTTTTCAGCAATCTATTAGAGGGAAGGAGAGAGAATAAGACAGCTGTCCTCGACATTTTCTGCATTTCTGTTTGCATATGGTAAATATGAGTGCCATGCATTAGCACCTAAAATGGTGATGGATTTTGAGGAGCAACATGTGCCTGCCCTTCCCTGCTTGCCAGCGTGGGCTGCAGTTATGTGGACCGCGGGGCTGGTTTGTACCATGTTTTGGGCAAAGCTGTGAGAGCATGGTAAGGAGCACCAGCACCCAGACCTAAATCCCAACCATGGAGTTTGTCAGAGAGCTCATCACAACAGCAAGGTATTAGTCTAAGTGTCTCGGCTGGAAAAAATGGGATTTTACCAGTAATTTAAACAGAAGCAGAGTGAAGCCAGGATAGAGTGTAAACAGAAAACCCATGCATCCATTTTAGACAGCACTTCTGACATTCCAAGGTGTTCAGAGTCCAAACACTGATTTAGTTTTGTCTGGAGCAGAGTTGCTCTGTTGCATGTAAATGCCAGCAAATTAACATTAGACAATTATCTCTCTTATTAGATATCTCAAGCTATGTTTATCTTTTTTTTATATATATACCCTGCTTTTCATAATATTTTACAGCTCATTAAGTAATTCAACCAATGTTCGAAGGCAGATCGCAGGGACAAAAATGTAGTTAATCCATGGAAAGGAAAACCCTCTAAGTTACAGGGAAAAAAGCCCTTTTTTAAGGATGGCAAGAATTTGTCCCATTTCTGTTCTGGCTGCCTGTGGCGACACAGCCCATCTCCTCTGCTTGCAGGCCAGGATGTGGCTTGTGGCTGTATGCAGGACAGGGTCACAGCTGTCCCCTGCGAGTGGGTGAGGAAGGGACAAGTGGCTCCATCAAAAGCCACTGGAAGGGGACCACAGCTGTGGGGAACGGCAGCTGGTTCCCTACATAGGGAGAGTCTGGCTTTCTGTAACAGAGACTGGATCACAAACTGGGGTCCAAGTGGGACAACTTGGCCTTATCCCAAGTATAAATCAGGTTTTTAGAGGAAAGATTGGACATTTTCCACATTTCTTCTTTGAACACGCTATGAGCATGCATTCCACTTGCTACAGGAGAACCCCTAGCACAGCCTGCCTTGGCATAGCCAGAAATGCACAGCCGGCATGAAAAAGCCAGGCTAATCCTTGAAGTAAAGGGTTACTTATTTCCTAGACAATTCATGCATTGGTCCTCCTTAGGGGTTGGCCAACAGAAGTGTTTTGGGCTCACTTCTGCATTTTTCTCAATGCAAATTTGCCAGGTCCCAAGAATGAGAAAAATCGATTGTTTGCACATGTAAGGTTTATTTTTGAAGAGCTTTCCACATGGAAACCAAGTATTCTTAGCAGACATACACGTGAGCTGCATCCTTGAGGACAAATCTGCCCCAGCAAGAGGCTGTGGATCTGAAATAGCCACAAGTGATTGGAAGCAAATGCATGCAGAAACCTCGCTCAGTGCTATCCCAGGCAATCACTTGTTGGATTTCCACACCACAATTTAAAATTCAGATGAAATATGAAGTCTCTTTCAGCCTGTTTCAGTAGAGGGCTAGTATTACACAAGCAGATTTACCAAGGAAAATCAAATATGGGAATGCCTCATTAGGGACCTAGAGTGAACAGTTAATATGTCTTCAAGAATTTGTACAGTACAGTGATTCACAGGGCTTCTTTGGCCTTTTTCAATCTCTTTTCATTGTTTTTTGTCTTTCATAAGAGTGGCTTATGTAATCTAAGCAGTAACCTTCATTTCGATGCTTTTTCTGGCTCCCTGTCACAGCCATGCCTCTCTTTTTTCCATGTCTCTTACTCTTCGACATTTTCTTTTCCACCATCTCCTCTGCCACCCTACTGCCCTCCCCAAATGCCTCCATGTCCACGCTCTTTCCCCAGACTTCTGCATGCCCTAAAGCTCTCCCCCTGTCCTCTCTGATTTTTTTGAAATAACGCCACTTGGGATGTTGGCACTGAGGTAGGTTGCATAAGCGGTGGTTTATCTGATAGAGCGTTTGAGCTGAGCTGAGCTGTACAATTAACCCTGTAGGTGGGGGCTGCAACAGACCCCAGGTCTACTGTGCTGCGCACACAGAGGTAAACATGCAGCCTGCGGGCACTGAATTAATGCAAACCTGGAGGAGAAAGGTGCTGCTCTGGCAGCAAACCCTCCAGGGCACTTCATCGGCCTGTACGAGGTATTGGGGCCAAAATTCCCAGTTTCCACCCCATTCTTGTAGCATCATGCCACAGAGGGGCAGCCCCGGTCCCCTTCACCCCATTGCCCCTGTGCAGCCACACCGGCACAAGCAGCAAAGGTGAAACACACATGGAAATATGCCCTCCCCAAAAGTCAGTAAAATAAGGAGACTGCTTATAAAAAGCTGCTTACAGATCAAACCTGAGCTGAAAGCCAAGTAAATTAGCTTGTAACTCTTGTCTCTTCCTTTGCAAAGTCTGCCCTCGGTCTCCAGCAACTTTTTTTACAGCTCATTTTTGGGAGCATTTTCTTCACTCTCCCGCAATTTATTATACCATTAAAACCGATGGGAAAAAATGTTGCTCGTTAAGGTGGGAAGGTTTTATCTGAAATACAAAATAATGAAATGGCAAGAAATCTCAAGGCAAGAAAAAAACCCCGCTGTTCTACACAAAAAGATGATCTTTTTTTTTTAAAGAAAGCCTTTTCTCTCCCCTCCAGCACCAGCGACAGCTTCCCCGTCAGCTCAGCCCACTGGCTCTAAGCCGAAGGAATCCAAGTAAGGAGAGTAATTGGTAACTGTTTTCTATATAATTCAGTCACGTTAGGCTGTATTTATGCCATACGCGGGTGAGCAGCAGGAACACCTAACAACTGGAGATTTACAGTATGCCTGAGACATCCACAGCCTGGCAGCCACTGCTGTCCCCCTGCTATTAATAAACTGGAAGTTATGTCTGTCCAAGTGGTTGTCTTTGGGCCCCTCAACATTTGCTGTATTGAAAGGGATGCTGCCAGCCTCTGCAGAGGCTTTTTTAATTTTTTTTTTTTTTTTGGTGTTAGACTGATAAATCCCGTATAGCATCTCTCGAAGCGGCTGCAATGTGTAATTTTTACTTTGCAGGCTGCTCTTCCAGCTGGGGAGGAAAGGGAGGTCTGATTCCCCAGCCATGGTAAATCAGCGTAATACCACTCTTCACGCCACTGATGCTGCTGCAGCACCATGGATTTACATCCACCAGGGATGTAGCTCACTCCTTTCAGCTGTCCGATATAAACGTTAGACATATCTAATCTTCCTTGCAGACAGAGAAAAAGGGAGAAAAGAGAAATTGGAGAGAGGCGCTTGTTCAAGAGACAAATAAAGACCAAATTCTTCTGCAGTGTACTTTAAATGGCACTCAGTTCATTGATAACATTCCTTGTATGAATATATGAAGGATGTTTTAGCTTTTTTCCTTAAAGATGTTACCACATGCGCTTGGCACCAAGGGAAATGGACATAAGCAGCTGTTTAAGGGAAGGCTGTTGTATTGCTACACGAACATGCAGCAAGGTGGTTTTTTTTCATTACAGGGTTATAAATTCATAACTTTGAGCCTGAAAGAGTGCAGGCTCTATTTCTTCCCCAAATTATGAAAATGTTATGGTCTGAGGTAAAACCTCTGTTGCGATATCAAGGGAAATCGGTCTTATGGTTTCCAGGCTAACAGAAAGTCACTACACAAATGCAAGAAAAATGAGATTTTCAACCCATCTGAGAGGTTTGTGCCTTCCCGCGAGGTGCGGAACTGCTGCTGCAGGAGCTGGAGGGGACCCAGCAGCCCAGCTCCGCGTGGGGCTGTCCTGAGCTGTCCTTAAGGGAAGGGCCATGATTTGGGGTTCATGCAGCCAGCTGCCCACACATCACTGGGGCTGCACCCAGACCCCTCACGGGCAGGCAGGTTGCTCAGTCTGAGCACATGTCTCGTCCTCAAGCAAACACCAGCTTGACCCATGGAGCAGCCCGAGTCACCCGCCAACCCCCCGGTCCCAGGAACGGGGGCTCCTGTGACATTTGGGTTCAATACCTGGCCCAGTTAGCCTGCACGTGGCCCTTTACTGGGCTCTGCTCCTCATGGGTAAGGCTGAGATGATGGCATTGCACTACCTCAGCAGAGCTGGGAGAGCAAACACATGATGGAGGCACCAGAGCATCACTGCTCCCCCTATTCCTCAATGGTTTTTCATCCACAGATGCATTAATTTGTGTGCGCTGTGCCCAGAATCCTTTAAAATTCATAGGTAACCAATAAAAAAGCAGTCATGTTTAAAGGCCTTGTTGAATTACTAATGCAGATAAACAAACCAAAAAAAAAAAATCAAAAGGCCTTCACTCCTTCCCTTGAATCAGATCAAGTCAGGCCCCAATCATAGTTTGTTCAGCATCTTTTTTTTTTTTCATGCTTTTTTTCATTTGCCAAGCCCACAGGCATCTTTAAATTAGTATATCATAGGGGCAATCAAAAAATTCTCCCTGCGTTACACAGATAGAAGCAGCTGGACACCTTGATAGCTCTGTGTCGTAGGCTGGGAATGATTTCATACCCTGCCAGACAACTGCAGGTGAAAAGAGAGAGTGGGAGGGGGTCTGGAAAGCCCCAGTTATCCCTCTGCGCCCTGCTGCCCTTAACTTTGCAAGTACATCTCTCCCTTCCGCACGCTGCAAGACCTAACTTTTCTCATTTTCTGAGCCAGAAGTCATTTAAGGTGACTGGTGCTCCCTGCCCAAAATAATGCCACCAAGAATCACTGGAAACAGCTGCGAAACCTTGCCTGCTCCTAAACCCCACAGCCCTCTTCCCCGCTGGCCATGAACCTCTTACGAGCATCCTACCCCGTGTCACCTCTTTGCAGATGGCGTGTAGATGGCTCTCCTGCCTCCTGCTGCAGCAGAAGGCACGACATCGAGGACGAAATGACCCAGACAGAGTGGAGCTATTCAAAAACGTCCCTGGCTGCCAGGGAGGATGGTAAGATCATTTAAAGCAACCCTGTCTGACATCCCAAGTACTCAGAATTGTAGAGGTTTTTTAAAAAGTGGCTTTTGGCACCAGTTTACTAAAAACAAAAAATACTCACAAAGTAGGTTTTGTTCGGCAGAAATGTTGATTCAGTTGAAGCACTTTGACTAGGATAAACGCCTCTCATTACCAATATCCTAAGTTCTGTTTCCCTTCTATTATTACGGCACAAAATGCCTTATGGCATTTTTCCTTAGACGCAGCTTTGTTTCACTTCCCACGTTATTAGGGGTTTCATGTAGAAACTGGCAAAAGGCAAACTCTCAGACCCCTACACAGAGCCGGTCAGACACCAGTGAGAGCCCAGGGGTATGCCAGGGCCACGCTCAGCCCCTCGCCTGGTGGCCCAGCAGCTGACGAGCATCGGCAAGAGTGCTCTGAGCCCGTATGACCCCAACCCACTCTGTCAAGGTGTAGGAATGAGCTGATTTTGCAGTGAGCTACCCCTTGAAGTCAGACTTGCTCTCCGTCACCACCCTAAGCCGTGAGACGCTGGAGCTGAGGGATGACACTTGCTGAGGTGGGAGGATGCCCAGCGGTTCTCAGCGTCTCCAGCCCAGCCCACGCTGTGTCAGTGTGGGTTGTCTCAGTCAACAGAGATGGTCACAACCCAGAATGGAGGAATATTTTAGTTTTCAGCTTCTTGATCTCAACAGGCCTCCTCGGGCTGATGAATCCCTCTCTTACTGCCCAAAGAGAGGGACTGAAGTGAACTTCACTTGAAGTTTATGAGCGCTTCAATGGTGCTGTCATTGCAGGCTGCCAGCAATGTGCAAAAGTCGTTCCTCCCCTCCCTGCCTCCTGCAGTCCTGAGGTTATGCCTCCTTTTTTGCCACCAGCAAGGCGGGCCTCTGCAACCATCCAAGGTCACTTTTCAAGGCCAGCATCTCCTTTTAGGCTAATGCAACTCTTCCATATCCAGCCATCCAGGTTCAGAAGGACGTTTGAGGGCCAAAGTCACATTGATTTCCAGGGGCACATTAGACACCTAAATGTTTTAGGGGATCCTGTCCTAAGGGTTTCTCTGTGAGAGAAGCACAATGTTGTCACTAGGCTGTCTCAGCCCACAAGGGTTTATGAAATGCTTAGCTAGCAAAACAAAAAGCATTAACTTCTTGGCTACAGCTTTCTGCCAAAAGATAAGCAGGTCGTGCTTTAATGCAGATGTCTCGGGGAAAAAATGTGCAGTGCATTAGAGAGCTGTGACTCATAGAATAATTATCCTCGTTTCTCATAGTTTATTAATAATTTAAACCCAATCTTGGTGTTATTGATCTATCATTGAATCGGAGATTTATTTCAGATCTGTAGTCACTGAAGCAGTAAATTTAATCCCCCTTCCCCTCCCACCCTTCCACCCACTAAACTCACTTTATAACTAAAACATGATGTTTAGGCTGTTTCAGTAATAGGAGAGGAGAAGAAGAGCCCAGAGGCTGTGGGTGGCAGGAGCATCCTTAAGCCCACAGAAGACCAAGGTGAGCGGCATTAAGGTTCTGGTTTTGATACACCTTTTTTTGACCGAACCACCCTTTGCACATGGTCTCAGGGATGCCAAAAGGACCAAATGCTACTTGCTGGCATGTGCATCACAACCAGATCCTAAACCGCTTTTGCCTGTTTTCATCTGGGTTTTCTTGCCCATTCCCATAGCTAACCATCAGTTTTGCACGCATCCCAGTTGTGGATCCCAGTCCTACTCGTCCTCTGGAAACACAGATATGAGCTCACCGAAGTAAAAGCACCTGCAACGCGGAGGCTGTTGCAAGGCACACAGTCTCCTGGGCCCGATCCTAATCTTACTTTAACTGGTGAAAACCTGAAGCAGCTGCCTGGGTGTCCCAGGAGTACCATGAGTGTAAAATCACCTTAAGCGCGTGGAGGATCAAGCCTAGAAAACTATGATGTGAAGACTCCTACAGCAGTGCTCACTTGGCTGTAACATGTGTCTGGTGCATTCACTAATATAAGCAGTAAGATCTGTCCTTTTAAAGGAAGCCAGGAATAGAAAACAGCATGCTTTACGGCTGTAAAGTGCCCAGAAGAGTGATTTTTGTAGGCAAATGAAATACATTTTTATTAGACCAATTGTAGTATACAGTTGGGGTGGAAAATGCATTCTTGGCTGTACCAACTCTTTCTCAGGTCTGAAAGAAAGCAGCAAATGTGCCCAAATGTTCACCTGTTCCTTTCCTTTTATATTAATGGATACAATTAAAGATATTACCATCCCCTGCCAGCCCATCCTCACTGCTGTCCTTAGACCCTGCAGCTGGAACCACAGCAAATGGGGGCTCTTGGCCACAGTCGGGGCTTCTGCAGGTATGGAAATGTGCAACGGGGCCAAGCTGTCACAGCCTTGCTCTAAAAAGCAAACAAGACTCAGTGTAACCAGGCAGAGCGGATGCGTTGGTGGGGTAAAGCGCTGGCATGCACGCGTGAGTGTGGGCTCTTAGCGCACCTCGTGTTTCTTGCCCAAGTGGAAGACATCCTTAGAGATGAACAGCAGGAAAACAAAGCACAACAAAGTCAGCATAGTCTATAACCATATTTTCCAGAGGTATCATTCTTAATTAAATAGTCATGAAGCTAGGTTTTCCTTGGTTTGGGTTTGGGGTTTTTTTTGGTGTTTGGTTTAGGTTAGCTAAACCTGGAATAAGACCAGTGAAATGCTGCTATTTCACTAATCCTGCAGGACAAGGGATGGTGCCAGCAGTAACATACCGGGGTGCAGGTGCTGGGTGTTGCGGGCTGTTGGGAGGGGAGCAAAGCCAGGGGAATCCACAGCTGGAAACGCTGCTGGGTGGCTGGGTCTCTGTGACACTGGGTCCCTTCTATCCTGATGGGACCGTTGCCATTGGCGGGTCACAGCTCCTGCAAAGCCCAGGCTTGCTGGCATTAAACCTTTCTCTTCTGCGAGGCCTGAGAGACTTGTTTGGCCAGATGTCACCCAAAGGTGTGAATTCCTAGAAATTGGGGCTTTCCTGCAGTTACAAAGCAGTGACCTCCCTTCCTCCCCCTCCTCGGTGAAATAGGCAGAGTGAGCAATCACAGGCACAGGTACCCATCACCAGTGCAACTGTGTTTTGAGTACCTACCTGCGATGGGAGCAGATTTGGTGCCTCTCTGAATACATAACCCTTCCTCCCACAGTTTAGTCCTGCACCAGGCAATTAGGAGGGTATTTTCAGTATTGAGCAACCGAGTAGAGAAACTGAGCATCACTTCAGGGCGCAGTTGACCCAGAATATGTTATTTAACATGTTTAGGTCTCATTGCACCCTGGCGAGGTGAGGAAACGCCTCTTCCTGCCCTTTTAGGAGTGGGTAACTAGAGAACTCTGTCCCCATCTCATCCCCCCTGAGCTAGGTGCCTACTCCCCCAAATCGCTTGCTGGAGGTGCTGGTTCCTTGCTGTTGACAATATTAGGCTCCTACTTCAGGCCTTCACTTACAGGAACGACCTTGGGCCTCAGTGCAGCTTGCACAGGTCTCCTGACCCGCAGGACACCCTTCTCAAAAGGCCCAGGTAAGGTATTTGCAGAGGCAGATCATGGTCAGCTAGCCCTCCTCCACTCTGGCTGGCCACAGGGGGGGGCGTGTGGTCCCTACCCCGCCTGGCACCCCTCGGAGGCTGCGATGGTGCAGAAGCAGTTTTGGCACCATGTCCTCACGCTGCGGGAAATTCTGCTCTTCCCTCCAGCTGTGGAGGTGCTCTCCAGGGACACCGAGGAAGGAGAGAGCAAGGGGACAGCCGAAACCGAGGAAGAGGCAGCAGCCAAGGACGGAGAGGAGAGTAACCAAGCAGGACTGCGTGAGCAAGGTACAATGTGATATTTGGAATAATCACAGCCTCTGTGAGATAAATCTGAGTTTTCTAGGTGCTCATCTGCTGTCCTTTGAAAATCCCAGGCTAAACTAAAGATCATTTTGCTCATAAGAATGACCAAAGCATTTGAAGTCCTCCTTTTGCTGCCGTGGATCAGAGATTAGCACTGTTAGGTGGCCATGGAGGACAAGTGATCCTGTCTAGTCATCCAGGGCCATAATAAAAATGACGAGGGAAATGTGAACTGGGAGCATTTTTGTCAGAATACTAGAGTTAGCCTCTAGGAAAGGGCCAAGTGGATGCCTGGGAGCACCAGCCTTCAACCGAAGGGCTGCAGCCCTCTTCTTCCCATGGTCTTCCTCCTCAATTTCAGTGGGTTTTGGTTCTGCCATATCTCAGCTGGGTGAGCATGGGATGTCAGAGACTGCAGGAGGCAAGAAAACCCTGTGGTTTGGAGGAAAAGCAGTTGGGAAAGGGGATGAAAGAAGGAAAACTGGGAATCTGAGAAAGAGGGCAAGTAATATGAGATTAGAGAAGGAAAAAATATCAATAGCTGTGGGGGTATGAATGAAAAACTAAGGAGGACAGACCCCAGGGAAGAGATGAAAACAAGAATAGGGATTAGGATAGAGGTAGAGCGGGGGGGGAAGGTGGAAAAACAGAGGGAGGGACATTGAAAGGGGAGGTGGCTATAAATTAGAAGCAAAACTTAGAGGAGAAGAAATTTAGCAAAATTGCAAAATGAAAACAGCAAAGTGAAGAGCAGCTGATTCCAGAGAGCAGAGGAGATAGGCTCGGCAAGACAACACTCCCGGTTGTTCATTGAAAGTTTGGTGACAAAATAGTGCAGGGAAGGTAACTCCTCTTTTCTTCTTCTGTCTGGATATCTGCAGTCCTCAGAGGAATCAGGCTGCGAAAGAAAGACCTGGGACTGCAAAGCACTTCCTTTCTGTTTGGGATAAAAAACATTCATTCTGGGGAGAAAAGGGAAAACAGCAGAAAGAAGAGATTCTTGCTTTTCTTTTCTTCTTCTTTTTTTTTTTTTTTAGTTTTTTATTTTCACAACAAGCTTTGATACACGTTCGTTAGGTAGAGAGTGGCTGCCCGGAGCAGGGGACATGCTCTGCAGTGAGGTCTGCTCCAGCATTTCCCAGAACAGATACCAGGCAAACGGAGGGGCACAACTGCAGAGCCGCTGCCTGTTCTACCTCCCTTTGCCCACCCCAAACCTCTCGGTCTCCCATTACTGGGGTGCAGTGGCTTGAAATCTGCAGGAGGATAATTCCTGGAAACCCTGCTCTGCGCCTTCCCCCGCCGTGCATCTCATCCCTCCATCCCTACTTTTGCTTGTCAGGCATTTGTATAAATAGGATTAACATTTGCAGTTACACTTAGCTAGGTTGCAAATTACACAGGCTATCAAGCCGTGTACTTCAGGGCATACACTGATTACCATCGGAGGGGCAAAAATGAGTTTTTCCAATAACAGAATATTGCATGATTGACTGGGGACATTATGGGGCAGAGTGGATTAGCCTTTGCCATCAGTATCATTTATATGTCATTACCGCACCAGACGTGGGCGAGCCGCTTCCATTCAGGCAGCGCTGGAGGTGGCTGGGTCCAGAGGAGTAGGGCTGGTTGTTAAAACCAGCACTGATTTCTGAACCTGCTTATAAAATGCACCTCTAGCAAGCTGCGCTCTCTGCTTCTGCTTACCCACCTCCTGAGCAGCACACTGCATGCCTTCAGCTCACCGGAGGAGCCCGTCCTCCCCTCCCTTGTCCTCTTACGGCCAGACCCAGCCCTCCCTGCTGCTACTGCAGGGATCCAACCCAAATGACATTCCTCTGGCAGTGGTTTCCCCGGCTCTGAGCCAAGGGCCAAGTCCTGCAGTACAATATATAGGCTGCTGCTCATAAAACATCATCCTACGACGTGATTTTTCAGAAGCCCAGTTCACATGCGGGCTCTTAGGGCTCTCCATCACCACTCTGATACTTTGCAGTCAGAGAGGAAGCTGTGGCCTACAAAAAGCTGCAGCATCTCCTGGTGTTTTCCAACTCTGGTGGGATTAAGAGATATCAGAGGAGCTGGGACACGCTGTAACAGGAGGCTGGAGGGTTCCTGACCGAAGGGTCTGCTGACCCCATCCTTAGGGTGCTTCCAGGGGCTTGCGAGAGGGGCTGAGGTCCCCGTTAGCTCTCTATTATGTATGAACAGCTTTGTCTACCCTCAACTTTCAGGCCATCTCATTTCCTTCATCTTGGCAGCAAATGATTGTCTCATTTGAATGGAAGACCTAAAATTGACAGAAAATCTAAAATAAGAAAAATAATTAGCAGCAAAACTTTTAATTCCCCTTTCTAAGCCACTTCTAAATGTGTTAGTGCTTATTTATTGGACCTGGCTTGACATTTAGACAGTTCCTTTTAATGCTAATAGGGTTGATTACCAGGTTGAATCCTACTGCTTTGAGGAAATGGCTGCTCAGTATTCAGAGCTGCCAAGTTCCCCCTGCACAGAAATACCCGCCTTTCTTCACAAGAAACATGTATTATTCAGTGCAAATACATTAAAATAAGGCTGTATTGGGTCTGGCTGAGATGGAGTTAATTTTCCCCATAGCAGCCCTCATAGTGCTGTGCTTTGTATTGGTAGCTAGAAAGGTGTTGATAACACACCGGTGTTTTGGCTACCGCTGAGCAGTGCTTGCACAGCATCAAGGCTGTCTCTCCAGCATTCCCCCCTCACCAGTAGACTGGGGGTGGGCAAAATCTTGGGAGGGGACATAGCCAGGAATGGATATGGACAAACTGCCTTTATCTTGACCCACAAGGTTTTTTCCATCTTATTTTCTCCCCCGCCCCCCCCCCGTCCTGCTGAGGAGGGGAGTGATAGAGCGGCTTGGTGGGCACCTGCCATCCAGCCAAGGTCAACCCACCACAAAAGCCATCGCGGGAGCGAGGAGCCTGCGCCAGCGATGCTGCACCAGCAGCCCATGCATGAGGCGTGTGGCAGTGGAGTGCCCGGGCTCTGCCCTTCCGTGGCTAAAAACCAGCACCTGCGGGACGGGGCCAGCCCACGTGCTGGGAACCGGGCTGCGATTTGCCCTGGCTCATCAGCTTGGCTGCGGTGCTGGCGGGCACCCTGGGGGTGGCAGGGCCCCCATCCGGTGATGGGTTGGGAGCCCCAAGGAGGAGAAGGAGTGAGAGGGGCAGCCATAACAGGGGAGGAAGAGGAAGAGGAAGAGGAAGAGGAAGAGGAAGACGAGGAGAGCAAGGAAGCCACCTGGTTTCCCTAAGAGCTGGGGTTTCCTGCCTTTGCCCGCTTGCAGTTCACCCTCTACTTTCAAGACTCTCGTCTTCCTCCCTATCCTACAGAACCAAACACAGCAGGGACTCCTTCCTAATGGAAATCTAGGGGCAAGAAATATGGGTGGGGTTTTTTTCCCCCCGTAACAGTCACTGTCAGATTATTTGCTTCACTGTGTATAATGGAGCCTTTTGTGCTCCCTCTCCTGCAGATCAATCGAACAGACAGATGTCTGATTGTCCTCCTGTTCCAATGTATATCATCATTACTCCTTCGGAGCTGCTGCAAAATAGCACAGGTGTCAATAAGAATAGAATTTGGCCTTACATTTACTTTAAATTAGCCTTTATAGGTGAAAATGGCAGGTTTTCAGAAAATGAGCCTCACCTTCACATTACTGAGCATGCAATGTCAACACGAGGCTGCCTGGGCGATGCAGCAGCCTCCAGAAATAGGGCAGGCTCCTAAACGCTGAGGGTGACAAGCCTGGCTTGACGAGCTTTGCCAATGGCTAGTCGAGCACAAGGAGATTACCCTGATCTGGGGAACAGAGATACTTGAGCTCAGGAATTTCCCCCCAGGGTGTGATTACCTTGTAATAGCCACTATCCCTCATTCTCATTTCTAGCTGGAAAGGAGTTGCAAAGCGAGGCTCCTAGTTTGTATCCATCAGCTGGTAAACAGCCAAGACATGGCTTTTAAGGCAATCTTGGAAAAGTGCACAGGGACACAAATGTTCCTGTCATTAAGGTGGTGAGTTTTCAGCCAGAAAAGGCACTTATATATTGTGTCATCAGAGCATCCAAGTGTTTGTTTTTAATTTACATGGGGAAAACCCAAGTGAATCACTCAGATTTGGACTGACTGTTCAAGCCACTGCTGTACATTTTCTTTTTTTCGCTCTCCCATCGTTCATAACCATGCATCATAAGCAGTACAGGAGCCACTCTCTTTCAGTGATGCCTTGGAACAATAAAAACCAAGATGATCCAGGTTAGGCTGGGGGAAGGTGAGCTGACTGCCATAAAACATCCTTGTTCTGAGACACAGCCACCACCAGGTCACATTTCCACTGCATGGTGAGATGCACGCTAGAGGTCTGCATGTAGCATGAGGCGCATCCCTTGGTTATCAGCCATGTTCCAGAACGACTTGGCCTCCAGCTGAGGACCGGCAGAGAAGAGCTGTCCATGCAGGAGAAGGTGGACTGGACAGGCTTCCTCAGGTCCCAGACACGTCAACGGGAGGAGATGGTGTGAGACCGGTTTCTGCAGCATGTGCCTTTTGCTATATGTCAGTGTGCCCATAGGGGATAGTCAGCACTCAGGTGGCTTGGTGCTTTCCCTCGGTCACTAAGGTCTGCTTCAGGGCTCCCACCGACAGCCACAGAGGTCACTGCTTTGTCTTCCACAGTGGGGGTATCCCATGAGATGGGGTCCGTGCTCTGAAGTGGTTGGCCTACAGAGGCTTTCACTTTGGGAGCTAAAGGGAAAGGGGATGCACCTGCCCACGGGTCTTGGTGGAAGGGTTTTTAAGCTGAAAATCGCACCCGGTGTGTTCAGGCTGGAGAGCCACCAAGCAGCTCTATCTCTGTGATGCAGGGGGCTGCGTTGGAAACGGTGACAGGCAGCAGCACCAGACAGCTCAGGCTGCATTTAAGCTGCTTTGCCTTAGTGGGAGACATGGCCTGGTGTGAAATGCAGAACATAGGGATGACTGCAAAGGGTCAGCCCCAAAGTGTGCCTGGCCCAGCATCCTGCCCTGAACGAGAGCCAGCAGATGCTCAGGAAGCAATACAAAAATAGAGCAAACATTTGTTTATACTTCCCAGAATACTCTCCATTCTTCTAGTGGTCTGTGACTCAGGAACATCCTGAACCGTAGACACCGTCTCTGCATTTAATAGCCCTTGATGGATTCTTCTTCCATCGATTAGTTTACACCCTATTGAACTAACAGTGAGCGAGCGGCTGTGTGGTGTTCAGTTGCCGGCTGAGGTTAAACCATGACACCAATGCAAACTTTAAAGATCCACTGGCACTTGCCACTCCATGGCAAGGAGTGCCACAGCTAAAAATCTCTTTTGTTTATTTTGAACTTGTCACTTAATGGTTTTCTTTGATGATCACTCTCTTCCTTTGAAGAGCACTGAATAACGTGAACAGCTGTTCCCCAGTCACGCCACTCTTCCCATCATAAAACTCGGTCATATTTCTTCAGTCATTTTTTCTTCCAAGATAAAAAGTCTTAATCTATTCAGTCATTCCCTGAATGGAGGCCCTTTTATACCTCTGATCATCTTCAGTTGCCTTCCTCTGTAACTTTTCTATTTCTTCTGTATCGTATTTGAGATTGGTGAATCAGGACTGCACAACAGTATTCAAGAGATGGGAGCCCATGGATTTATACAGCAGCATAATAATTTCCTCTGTTTTGCTCTCTCCTCCTTTCCTAATAATTCCTAGCTTTCTGTTTGCTTTTTTGATTGCTACTGAGTGTTGAGCTGACATTTGCATAGAGCTATCTATTATAACCTGAAGATTTCACTCCCAAGTGGAAATAGCCAGCTCAGAGCCCATTATTTTGTATGCAAAGCTAGGATTGTCTTTTCCCATGCACATCCCTTTACATTTATCTACATCAGATTTCATCTGTGATTTTATTACCCTTTTATTCAGTGCCATGAGGGTCTTTCTGCAACTCCTCACAGTCAGCCCTTTGCCTCAACCATCCTGAATATCATCAGCAAACTTCTCCTCTCCCTGCTCACTGCTATTTTGAGATTATTTATGAATATTTCAAAAGTATGGGACAATGTTTAGGCTAATTTAGCAGCTTTCCCTCTCAAATTTGAAGTGCCAGGTCCCAGGGAGAGGGAAGAAATGCAGTTTCCCAAGCTCTTGGAATGGCACTGGAGATCAGTTGGCGTTTCTGGGGATGGATGGCATTGGGCCTAACCAGCACGTCTGCCTCTCCCCTTGCACAAATAGATGTGGGGGTGATGCCACTTGCTGGGGTATATGTGTCTGCCCCCTCCACCAGACTGTACGGGACCAGCGGGAGATGGATAGGGTTATGGTGGCCCTTTCTCCTGATAAAGCTGGGCCCTGGCACAAAGAGGCATGCAGAAATCCTGGGGCCCCAGGAGAGGAGGCAAAGGGGAAGCAATGGATGGGGAAGCCTTTCTCTGAGAAAACCACTGCACACAAAGTTGTGAGATTTGTCACTTTGAATGAACAGGAGCTAACTGGAAACTCTTCCTTGCAAAAAGCCGTGTGTGAGCCTGTTGAGCTTGCCCAAGGGAGTCCAAGGCTGGAATCAGATGAGGAGCCGCTGTCCATGGGAGGAGAGTGTGAGGATGATGGGACTGCGACTGACCTCTACCCGGGCGAGGTGAGACCCAGCCAGCCAGTTAGCGAGAAGAACCAGGAATTACCATGATGAGCACTTTTTCGGTGGTGTTTTTTTCCCGGGGAGCAGCACCTTGCAGCAGTGCCCGGTGGAGGGGTCAGTGCCAGGGTCAACAACAAGGGGCACTTCTTTCTGCTGGGGGCATCCTTGTTTGGGGGAAGAGGCTGGAGAGTTGCCGCTGCTATTTGCAGGCAAAAGGAGTCAGGTTGAGCATCACTCCGGCAATGGAGGCAAGGGTGAAATTAATTCAGAGGAGAAAGTGAACAGCTTCAGTGGAAGGTTCCTCATCCCTGTCCGGTGGTGCACCTCGGGGCCATGGGGTTGCACCAAGCATGTTTCCCTCTCCTCTCCGACCCCGGTAATTTCTTGTTGCAGCCTTTAAAGCCAGGCAGCACAGGATTTGCCAGCTCTCTGGCGAGACACCTTCCAGAAAAGGCACCTAGCCTCCAGAAAAATGCTCTGTGAAGGTGGTTTGATGCTCCTGCAGCTGCAAAGGGAGAAAGGAAGATAGTGTCTCTTCTCTGATAGTGGAGCAAAAATTGCTCCGAAGGGCAGAGGCTCTCCCCTTTAAGAGACTTAAGCTTGACCATCAGAAAACCAGGACCCGTTTGATGAGAAAAGAGCAGGCGTCAGTGACTCAGGCACAAAGTGTCTCTTGAGCTGTGGGAAGACCTGTGTCTCCTGGCAAAAAAATGCATGCGCATGAAAAAACCCCACTGGTTTCACAGACCCACAAAGCAAAACAGAAATTCAAGAGAAAACCAGCGGCAGACCTGCTGCTACTGCAGCCATCAACCACCTCCTCGTCTGAGTGGGAAAGGCGCTCAGCCACCTTAAACATGAAGGCAGAAGTCTCTATTTCCATCCCAGCCTTTTGGCTGATGGCCGTGCCGCTGCCCGCTCCGGGGACTGAAGCTGGGGACTGGCGAGTGCCAGGGGCTCCTCTGGCGCAGCTGAGGGTTTCAGCCGTGCCTTCACCCCTTGCTTGTTTAAGGGTAAGGTTTGGGGCTGGAATGGCTGTGTGGTGTGCCCAGTGCCAGCCCACTGCTGGTGAACCACACCGGCTTGGCGCGCATGTCTGCGCAGCCCTGGGGCAGTGATAGGGGGTGTGAAATCAGTCCCTTCAGTTGCTGTTACAAATTTCCTGTTTCATTCTGGTCGGAGCTGGAGGGTCTTTGCCTTCCTCTTTCAATAGCAGGTTTTTGGTAGGAACAAGTAACAGATAAAAACTCTTCTCACCACCAGAAGGGTAGATGTGGATCGTAGGCAGAGCACAACTTTTCTATAAGCAGCAGTGACTGGACCAACACAAACCTGCAACGCGTGCAAAGAAAACCAGAGCACGCTGCAAAAATGTATGGGTGCCATTTATCAGTCCTGGAGGCACCAGGGTTTGTGCTGTCGGCCAGCCCACCCAGCCCCGGACCACAGCTGGCTGATGGAGGAGGAAAACCCATCCAGAAGGCCACCTGGGGCAAGACGGGGTGGCTTTAGGTGACATGACTGCTCACGGTAGAAGGCGTCAGGACAACTACTATAAATACTACGGAGAGGAAAAAGGCCTTTAAAGCTAAACCAGACTTAAGCCACTTTTGAGCAATTATCAGGAAGGAGGAAAGTTAATCATGAATGTTTCCATCACAAATGCTTTGCAAACACAGGTTTTTTTTCCTTTGCAAAATGCAAACGTTTTCATTTTCCTTGAAGTTTCTCCATATCAAGATAGCCTTAAAAACTGAATGCATCTTGTTTTTTAATGTAGTTTCTCAGGGTTCTGTTTTTTTTTAAGAAGAGAGAGGAGCTACTTTTTAAAACTTGTTTTAAAAGTTTTAAAGTTTTTAAAGTTTCAAGCCTTTTAAAAAGGCTTAAAAGCCTTTTTTTTCTCTTTTTTTTTTTCACTTTCACAGTGCTTCACAGGATGTTAAAAGAAGGCCAAATTAACAAGTTGTTCGCATTTCACATGAAAAAACAACTATAAATTTCCATTGAGCTCTTAGGAAGGAAGCATAAACATGCCAACTGTATTTGTTTGGGAGCACAAAAAATTAAATATAACCTTCATTTCCTGATATTTTTTATATATATATATATACGTACTGAAAAGGAGTTCTGGTGTCACACTAAATGCAGTGGGCTTGGCTGCTTTTACAGGAACAGCCTAGACTTAAGCCCAATTTATTTATTTTTTTAAATTAATGAAGCTGATGCTGAATTTCCTTTGTCCTCTGAGGAGACCACCTGGACTGAAGAGTCTGCAAAGTGCACCTTTTGCAGTGCTCCTGAAAAGCCAATCCCAACAGCGGTGGATCTGAAGGAACAACCCCAGGAAAATGTGAGTCTACCCGTACCGTGTGAGCATGCCTGTAACATAAGTTTCTTCCTGGCAAAAGGGAGAGTGACCACCCCATGGCAGTGGCAGAAAGGAAGGGGAGAGGGATGTGGGCAGAGGAGCTGGAGGGTGAGGAGGTCTCCAGTGCGCCCAGGTGCCGCATACCAGCCTCACCGCTGCTGACAGGCGCTGCACCCCACAGCTCTTTTGCTGCAGGAGATATAAGGAAGTGTTTGATGCTGTCATCCAAGAGCAGATGAGTGAAGATGAAGCAGAGGAAAAGCTGGACATCATTCCCCGTGCCAACCCTTCCCAAGCTGAGCTGAGGAACAGCATCAAGGAGAAACTGCTGCAGCAGTAAGGAACCACGGGAGACTGGCCCAAGGCCCTGGCGGGAGGAGAGAAGCCCCATCTCCAGGTCCCTTTCATTCTGGTCCCAGGAAGTTTCGCTGGTGGGAACCTGCTCGTGGTGTTGTGGCACTGCTGCCCACATGCACCAACAAGCATTGAGGCATCCTCATGTCAGTCCTATGATGGTGCCACTGGCGGGAAGGATCTATCACCTGCCCTGTGCAAGACGTGCTGAGCAGGCAACAGCGCTGAATAGGGCATTAATGTTGGACCAGGACAGTTCAGTGCTGCCAAGGCAATACTTGCCTGAGGGTCCTCATGCAGCTCATCTTCACTGTAGGGCCCTTAGAAAAGCACTAGTGGGCTTGATGAGGAGCAGCTAGAGCTGAGGGCTCAGCAGTCATCAGCTGATCCACCTCTGCAATATTTGCATTGAAGGTTTGACACTCGCAGATTTGGAAGCTCCCTAGAAAGAGGGATGGGGCCAGATGCTTTCCCAGATGGCAAAAGATTTTCCCAAGCCAAACCCCAGGTAACTGTTCCCTCACAAGAGTCCCTGAAGGCATCTGACCCCATCTGGGGACTCACTCCCGTTGCACAGCCTCTGCACACCTTCCACTGCAGCTGCTTCAATCCCCACACCCAGCAGCCTTGGTGGACGTGGATGTGACTTCCCAACCACCTCCCAGGCTGCCAAGCAGCACACGAAGGGTCTAGTTCCTGTTTCGCTCCCTGGGAATGTGTTGTTCCCAGGGCATACCATGGATGGCCATGGCTGGGGCACGCTGGCTTTGCCAAGGTGGGCAGAGACCTAGCTGCATCACCTGAGGTATCCATCCTTCATTGCTGTTTCCCCTTTTCTCCCACTGTTTTGGTCCTTTGGGGTCTGACATGTAAGTGCCATCATACCTTCATGGGAGCAACAGCCCACACCGAAATTTCCCTCGGGTGCAGAGGGGCAGTATGAGGCTTGAGTGCCACTCAGGTCTTCAGGTAGGACATGGTTTAAGCCTTTTGGGTAGGGTCTGTCTTCTGGCTCTGCGGCAGCCAGCAGCATGCGTGGAGTACAGCGCTTGGTCCCAACAGCCACACAAGCCGAGTTTTGCCTTGAGAGGCCAGAGTGACAGTCAGGGGCATGACACACAGGTGGAGCGAGGCAGGGCGTCCAGTCACGTGTGTGATGAGATGTGTGGGCAGGATGTCCTGAGGGTTCGGACTCACCTCACTTCTGCAAGCCCGTACCCATGCCTTCCCCCATCACCTGCAGCTCCCCTTGACTGAAGGACAGGGAAACAGGTGTTTCTACTGCATGATTAAGCAGACTTGTAATGAGATGGATCTCCCATTTCTCTTCTTTGGCTATAAAAGCCATCTATGGTGACAATCTCATATGTAGACATCTGCATTGCTTCAGGTGAATCCTGATATAACATCCCATGATACTTTTCTTTCCCTTAGATTATGTGGGTAGTGTCATTAGCCAACAATTTGATCTTATTTTTAACTTCCCTTTTTTTTTTTGATCTTAGGTTGGATGAAGGAGGTTTTCAGAGCTACAGGGAAATATTTCAGCAGTATCTGAGATTTGCTGCCTGTAAGTACCTTTGCTAGTGAGTTGCTGTCATTGCTGGGCTTGACCTGGAGCCAGAAGCATACAGTAACTTCAGCACACCCAGAGAAGAAGCAGCGACTGCAGCCCTTTGTGTAGTAAAAGGTGCCATAATCCTAATTACGAGTGGCCAGGGACCTTCATAGTTTCTCAAAACACAGGTCTGCATAATTCTCTGCCTACAAGGTCTGTCATCTCCAGGCCATATATCCTCTGGCTGAGAGGAGTAGGAGACGGTATGGAAGAGACTTGCTAGTTCATGTCTAGTCCATCCTTTGCTATGAGTAATTCTCAGCTGCTCATGGGTTGGACACTTCATTGTTTTAAGCAAGGAGATCCCTTACATCTCTTAGGAAAGCCATCCTGCAGCATCACAGAGCCTACCCCATCCTAGTTAGGTTAGATTTTCCCCTTCCACTTATTTCTCCTCAAACAAAGCAAAAGACACAAAAACTCCTCAGTCCCTCCCTCCATCCCCCCTCCTTTCCAAATCATCCATGACACAAGGCTTGGAGTAACAAAGCTCCATCACCTTTTCCTCAACAACAACCTTCTAAAATTTTTTCAGGGACCAGAATTTCGTTCAGACTCTCAAAACAAAATGAATACACCGTCAGACCAAAGACTGCCCCTTTCAAAAAGCACCAACCAACATCCGCACCTCCAGAAGACCTACTGGAGCTGGACAGGGATTTTGTTGCGGAGCACTTAAAGGTGGGTATAGCCTGTTGGATCTCTTCTTGTTGCTTTTCAGGCAGGGCTTGTAGAGAGCTGTATAATGTTAGGTCAGCTCATACCCCGCAAGAGTCCAAACGCATTTAGATATCTCCTATGAGATATGGAGAAGATTCTGATTCAGCAAAACGTTAAAATGATCATCAGTGGGTGCGTTAAGTTGATGGGACATACCAACTTGTGGCTGTTTGAAGATGGACTTAATCAGGTGTCCATGGCTGACTGAGGTGGAAAGCTGAGTCTGGTGTCCCTGGGGTCTTACTGGGATGATAACTGTGTGTAAAGGGTTTTACTTATGGAGCATCCTATGCAGCTTGAAGGCTGAACACCATCAGTCAGTGATCCTCATCTGCACTGAAGCCTCAGACCCTGCTCTACTCACTTCCATTCCATTCAGCTCGCTCAACCTCCAAACCAGGCTGCCCTATCCAAACTGCCTAGCGGGGACGGATCCAGGCCCCTTGGCTAGGAATCACTTGGGGAAGTGCTCCTGGTCCCAGGCCAAGCCTCAGTCCAACAATTTAACAGCACAGGCAAAAGCTTTGCAGGGTCCAGGCAGCCTTGAATCATTAGCAGGGACATCACCGCTGTGTCCAGCAAAGGATGGGGTGGGGGGCTCACATGGCAGCTCTCCCTGGAAAACCAGGCTGGATGCAACCAAAAGAAAGACAATTATGGGTCAAGGAGCTGATTTTCGTGAGAATGGCAAAAGTACATTGCACGGTCTCTGTCCCTACTTAAGGAAAGGGATCCCTGAGATGTTCCAGCACAAGCTCATGTGGCTTATAAATCACAGAGGCCCGACCAAAAAAGGTCATGGAGGGCTGCACAAAACCTGGCAGTGGCTCAGCAGTGCCTTGGCAGTGGGATGGGAGCTGCCCGAGGGTCCTGGCACCTCAGCTGGGGACGAGCGGTTACCGAGGTCCCCACCAGAAAAGACTACCAGGGTGTCCCCTCCACCCCAGCTGCCATGAGAAGCAGCTCCTCGGAGCCCATCATGCCAGCCCCAGTGACCCCGGGAGGGCAAGCAGAGACTGGGGGCCTGCCCCATCAGCCAGGGGCTGGGTGGGACCCCGCACCAGCTCAGCGCCCCGCAGTGTGGTTCTTCTCTTCCCTCCCCTGCGTCTCCTCTCCCTTCCCAAACCAGAAAGCATTGCAGTTTCTGCAGGCGTGCAAGAAAATTACCTGTGATTTATCACACAATCAGTGATTTTGTTGGCTTTTTTATTTTCGACATAGAAGCGCATTATACTGCTCTCCGCTCCCGAAATATAGGGGTAGCAAAGCCTCCTGCCTTGGACCATCTGTCTTTTTAGCCTCATAAAAAGCCTGAAAAATGAAAGCAGGAACAAAATTGTCTGTTTGTTGCTTTTTTGTTCCCCTCCATCCCTTATAACCAGGAAGTAATTCTTGGCTATTCCGCAGAGCCAAAATGTGCATCTTCAGGTTATAAATTAGTGCCACAGTTATGGCTGGAGTCAGCCACTTCACATGTACGAAATGCCTCCGCCTGGGAGCTGCTGCAGACGAGTCCCTCAGGTCCCCGCGACAGACAAAACCCGAATACGGCCTCTTTCTGCACGTGAGAATTAGCTGCTGCTTTTAACGATGATGTTAAAAGGGAACAGCAAGGTCTCCCTGCTTCCCCCCTCTCCAAGCTGCTCTCCGTTCTTCCTGGAGAAGCAGGCAGTAATGCTGCTTATTCCTATTAGAAAGCATTAAACCCATCTCCCTTGTAATGCCAGGAGCTAAGCCCTTAGCAAAGAAATGTTTCTATTTCACTTGTCAGTACATTACAGGATAAATTACTCGTGTGCCTGATGGAAAGAGGGCTCTTGGCAAATTATATCATCAGAGAGCAGCTAATAACATAAAATAAGAAGAGCTGAGCTTTGTACATGAAATGTGAAAACACAGAAGTGAAGGATGAGTTTTCCTCAGCTATTTAAAAGTCTTTAATTAAAAAGTAAGCAAACACAAAAAAACCAAGGCTAGGTGGAAAGCACAGAGTGTGACGGTCTGGCTTGCCGGTGCTCTGGGGTTGGTACCGGTGCGGGGAGAGGGAGGCCTGGGGCAGAGCATCCCCATCCCCCGTGTATGGGCCGGCATCCCCACAGTGCTTGCCCCAGCCCCCCGCTGCCTCTCAGCTCCTCGGTTTTGCTCCTGCAGCACTGCCGCTCTCCTGAGCCTGTAAGACGACGTTATCCTGATGGACAGACATTTTTTCTCCTGTTCCCAGATGGAAGTGGTCAGGTTTAGTATCCGGCAGCAACGGAGCTCGGGTAGGGGGGCAGCCACGGGAACGCCCTGCCTCAAGGTGGGTCACCATGACCCTCCTCCCTTGGGGTAACCCGCCTCAGCCTCTTGGGCCGGCTACGCAACTCGTGCCGCTCTAGCAAGGAAATGCAGCCTACAGAGCTGGTTGCCTTGGGGTTGGCTCTCTGAAGGGTGGTGGAGGCTTGGGTCATTTCCCCCCAGACACTGTCCCATGGTGGTTTTCTTTCAAAGCATGCTTTCTGTGGGCTTTCTATGGGCTCGTCTTTCCTTAACTGTTTCTCAGCTACCCGTCAGGCAATGTGGCCATTCTCATCACGTTCACCGAGGAAGCCCTGTTCACCTATTGCATCCTGGAGGACAGCAGGTACCCGGGGATCAGGGCTGCCTTCGGGAGCCGCGGCCACGGGGTCTGCTTCCACCCTGACGGCCACCTCTGGTAAGTGCAAGCCAAAGATGACGCCAGGTCCCAGCTCGGCACCAACCCGCCCTGGTGGCACCCCAGGGCTTTAAGGCATGCTAAGAGCATCTTCATTTTTTGTTCCAGTTTTATTTTTTCCTATGTGAAAGTGCACGAAAAGGAGGGAGGGCTGTGCTGCAGCCCACCAGAGAGATGGCTTCTCCTGTTGTGCACCAAGGTGCAAGGTGCAGGCAGCATGCATGGCATGAGGGCACTTGGGGATCACCCTATTTCAATTGCCAGTGACACCTGTCTGGAGACCCTAGTGTGAGGATTGATCTTGGCCAAGGTTGGCCACACGGCCATGGAGGTGGCTTGGCCTCATTACAGCACAAGGATGAGGGTGCACCTTCTTTACCAGCTTCTCGTGGAGCCCCAGGTGGCCACGATGGAAAAGCATGGGCTTATTATCTGCACGCGAGGGGAAGACGCAGTAGCCGGAGTCTGTTAGCTTGAGGTCAACATTGCTTCTGGTTTGTTTCTCACAGCCAGTGAGTGTTACTCACTAAAGAATGATTTAGGTGATCAATTTCTTGCAGTCAAAGTTGTAATATGAGGTGACTGATGGCTTTAGTAAAAAATGCTGGCATTCGAGCCATCAAATACTAATTTTTGACACCCCACCCCCAGTCTCCAAAGTTTCCCTTCAGAAAGCTAGGAACTGGGGGAATCAGTAAATCCCATCTCAATTTTACAAGTCCTCCCTGTGTTGAGACTAATTAACAGACATCTTAAATGTCTAACTGGCTATTACAAATCATTTTAAATAGCTTTTGCACTAACGCTTCCATCAGACTCCTGCAGTCCTACCATTTGCCTGCAGACACGCCGGTCTTTCATCCATCATGCAGCAGCCAGGTTTTTACAGCCCAGCACCGAGGCGATCCCTAGCAGCACTAAACCATCGCCGAACCCACATGGGGCTCTCCTGGCCCCACTGGACCACACACTCCCCAGCAGCATTAGCCACACGCCGGCTTGCTGCCGAGCTGGGGCAGGCTGCTACAACCCTCCCAGCCTCTCCCAGCAGCTGTAAATTAAGGGCAATGCTAAGTGACCGCTCTGATATTTATAAAAAGAATATGATAGCTTTGCTGAGAGAAAAACAGAAACCCAACAGCCTGTGGGTAGGTTGTCTGTCCCACATATGGACCGGTTCAGGCTTGTATGCGGCTGGCGCTGTAGCACATCACAGCTGCAAAGTTAGATTCTTTTTTTCCCTGGGTTTTTTTTTGCTGCTTTTTCTGAGCTGCGGCACGAGGTAACGCTGGGGGAGGCCGAGTTGCTCTCGCAGCCCGGTGAGAATCAACTTCTTCATGCGTAGGCAGGAAAAACTCAACATAACACATGTTGTGAATGATAAAAACTCCCCGTGTGCCACAGCTGGGGGGATGCTCCAGCACCCAGAGCTGCCTACCCAGGCTGCCTTGGGATGGGGAGTATCAATTCTTATCTGTACGCTGTAAATATGGGCTGTTTTCCCACACACGCTGCGTTTCTCTCTTTCGTAGTTTGGCAAGGCCATTTCCCACACCCAGACACACACACGACCACACACGCACGCCCATAAAACCTGTTTTTAGCATAAAGGTTGCCAGAGCAAAAGAAGTTACCATGTCCAGGGACTTTCAGAAGATGTAGACGTGCAATAGGAAGAGGGGGACTCACACACACACGCACAGAGCCCACACTTCGCCTGAGGATTTTCTCTGCCCGTTGGGGACTCATTGCTCTCCCAGGGGCCAGCCAATTTCTGTAGCGTGCTTGTACTGTAGGACAAAAACTATTAGAAAACCCAGTCCTCAGCCTGGTGCGTCAGATCCCAGCGGTGACTCTGGGACCACAAGTTTGATCAAACTGCAGACAAAAGATGGCATTTGGGACCGGGGAGTTGTTTGCTCCGGATTCATCCAGCTTCGTGTTTGTTCCCAGGGCCGCCCTGGACCCCTGCACTGGGATCTGCCTGGACCTGGCAGGATCCAGCCAGAAGCGCTGGAAGTGGCATGACTTCAGCCACCACACTCACAGCCCTCCTTTCCGGTCCGTCACCATGAAACTGAACGGCCACGTCACCATTAAAATCCTGGCTCAGGATCAAATTGATTTATTGTTCACCAGCCGCAGCGATCGCATCCGTTTCAACGTGGGGTCCCGGCTCAAGGTGAGCGCTTGCTGTGGTAGCCCTGCCTGGCCGGCTCCTGCCTACCAGCTGCTTGGAGAGCAGCAGCAGGGAAACCGCCCGGTGGAGAAAAGCTTGGGGCTGCTGCATGGGACTGGTCACAAATTTTCAGGTGGAAGAATCACCGTTTCATTCAAAAGTAAATTTCCTGCCTGTGTGAATCTTAATGAAATTCCCTTTCAGGAAAGCATTTAGGTAAGATTGAAATGCTGTCGCTAAAGGGCAAGAACAGCACATCTCACAAATTCATTCTGAAACACTATTTCTTCTCAAAACATTTATATTAAATGTCAATACAAACAGAAAGCTCCCGATTTTATCTAAACAGCATTTCACTTAACATGAAACAAGCAATTGGAGAGAGGAGTGCCAAAATCCTTTGGTATTTGTTGTCACTCAGGTTTCCCACCTCTGACCCTTCCCTGGAGGTAGAAATGCTGTTTTGGCCGGGGCTCAGCCCTGCTCAGTGCAGTGCGACTGTCCCAGTCTACTGGTGTGCATCCCTGTCCTCCGCTGGATGCAAACACAACTGGTCAGCTCTGAAACACAGGTCACACATCACCGGGAGCTCATGCCTGGTTAGGGGCTGTGTCCTCAGGGCAAAGGATTCAACTTGCCTTCCCTGGTGCAGGCACAAACCAAACGTTGACAGCCCTCACAGCAACAGTCTATACGTGGCCACAGATATATTGCTAACGGAAACAGACATCTGGGTAGCTATTCAGAAAGGTGGCAACAACCCAAGGTCAGCATGTGGAACCATAAAGCATTGGCACCTGCTCTTCCATCCCCAAAATTCAGACTTCTCAGGACCCATTGCTACGTTAGGTAAGGAAGTCGTCTTCCTTGCTCCACTACTTCTGGGCAGCCCGCTCCCACCAAAGGAGGCCAGAGCCGTGCGTTTAGCTCCTCATTCCCCTTATACATGCACTGGAAGAGGATCACCTCCAAAGGGGAGCCATAAGGGTTAGTGTGCTCCATGGGCATGGAGAGAAAGGGCACCCTGGACACACTACACAGGTAAGCGTGAAAGGCTGGGTTACAAGGGATGCTCTCCCACTCAGCCTCCCTTCAGGGGGTTCAGCATTAACGCTCTTCGCTTTGCACGGGCTCTCTTTGCAGTTGAAAGACCCAGAGACAAGTCACCTACTTAAGTGGCCAGAAAGCGAAGAGGAGCTCTTCCTTCAGTCTAAAGAGATTCAGCTCAGGAGCCTGCTGTCCGAAATACAGAGAATGTTGCAATACTTTTGGCAACCCCTCTCTCAGTGATATCACTACTTGTGTTCCATCATCTTCTATCTGCATGAAATACTGAAATGAAGATATTAAGACTTGCAGCAAGCAGTTACATCAGCATTTCAGATCAACTTTTCCTTCACGAAGGTGATAAGTCACTTGGCGATGAAAATAAAGCTCCTTTTTTCAAGCTCACAATGCCTATCTTCCTGTACATCAAGTCCTTGTAACACAAAGTTCGTCTCATTTGAAAGCACTTGATGAGTCATCGTATGATCAGTGGGGTTATACACCGAATGTGCAGTACTTTGAAGGAGATGGCTTCCTTCCTACAGCTGAACAACTGGACTTTGGGAACTTGTACCAAGCGTGACTGACGAGCCCGCTTTGGCTCTCAGCCAGAGACACCCATGCTGGTGGAGAGGGGATGGCAAACAGCAGCCTGGGTACAGGGACCAGGGGTAATCCAAGAGAGGGAGGATGAGGGGCCTCTTGGGCGTCAGGGCTCCAGCTGATGGTAGATGGTAAGTCCCATGGCTTAGTGGCATGGTTGGCTGCCACTGAAAGGGGCCAACTGATTCTTTTTTCTTTTTTTTTTTTTTGTTCTATTCAGAGGTCTTTATATCAAAGATCTGATTTGCTCCACGGTGTTGACTTGGTTTTAGTGTTCAATGAGGATAAAAATGCACGAGGCTAGGAGAAAGCAGCGTTGGTGGACACGGGGCTGGATCTACCTGCAGTCACCACATGAGTCGCTTCAGCAGCACAGGCTTTTTCCCCTTTTCCTACCCACATCACTTTGTCAACACCAAACACGCACAGTTTGAAGAAGGGACTACTGGTTTTGTTTGGAAAACACCCGACACAGCATAAGCTATGCTGCGGGCATCACTGTTGTACAAAAAGCAGCGTGAATGCCTGGCCAGCTGCTTTGGCATTCACTTCATTTGTGAGATACAATCCAAAGGGCCAACCCTCTTGAGGAGGCTCCAAGCGCCTAGGAAGCAATGGTCACGCATCGCTGCCTCATACTGGTCAGAGAGAAGCTGAATTCCACAAGAAAGGAGCGTTTTTCCTTAGGTTAGTTCATTCACACGACATTGTCAAAGCCAGAGGGTGAAGGGAAGCTTCACGCTGACATTACAGGGGACAAACCACAAGCCCCTGGATGATGTGTTTCTACAATACCAAGGGCCAGAAGAACAGTATGTGGTAATGAGAAACTATGGGTAGATGAGTCTGTGAGTAACCAGGCAACAAGAACCGCTATCAAATACAGTAGTAACTGTGATTTCTGCCACCAGCTCCCAAGTTTTCTTAGTTTTAAAAGCCAACTAGTTAAAATATGTTCTTGTATTACAGGTGGGGTTTCTTCCCCTTAACAAAAGTGCAAGCAAAGAGACCATTTAGTCACACAAGATCATTTGTCAGTAAGGAAAATACAAATTTACTTTTATTATAACCATGAAGAGGCATTACTTTAACAATTAGCTGTACATTCAGCACTCAGGTATACATCCGTGCCAAATAAAGTCAATTCTCTTACTGCTAAAAAAGAACACTTCTTCTCAGCGATGCACTGCCTGTGCTTACAGGATGTTTATTGTCTCTGTGTTACAGTTATCTTGACAGACAAGCCTCAGATTACAGAATAAAGCTTTACTCTTGGACCAAAATAGGAGGCAACATTTTTATTTAAAAAAATTAAAAACAGCAAGTTTCTAGTCAGATAATATAAAGCATCTTAAATTAATCTTTTGAAAGTATTTACACTATTTGTAAACGTAAATATCTGAAACTGTACATGTTTAAACAAATGTTCGTTTAGCAAACAGGCTGTATAAACTGATTGCTCTTCTAGTCTTTCAACCAGCTGCCCCAGAGCTGTCTGGGCACTCTAAGAGAGAAAAAGATCCCAAGCACAAGAGCGACTACTGCAACAGTTCACCCTTCACGTCTTTTTCTGTACAATGTCTGTATTAAGTCAGTCGTAACTCTGTACAGCGACCATGCAGTCCTTCTGTAAAACTTTATAAAACACAAATGTACATATATTACAATGCGCTGGACATTATTTTACAGCCTGTATTTCTACATAAGTAAAAAGAAAGGGCAAGTTTTCTTCCTTGTTAGTTCCTTTAGTTAATTTTTAAGGAGTCATGTAGGGTCCTACGAGTACCATTTATGTACCTCAGCACCACTGCTGCAACGTTTCTTGTGGTAGCTTTAAATCCTACCATCTTAGTCTCCAGCCATGTGATTTGTAACAGGAAAATTATTAAATCAAAACGCCACCAACGTGCATGGACATTTCTACATATTTAAAACTACAGAACAGGTTTTATAAATAAGTTAAAAATCTGCCATGTAAGTCACCACATTTTTCCCTTGCAGTGCTGCACAATAAGGACTTCCACACTGAGACACCCCAAAGCTGCTTGTAGTGTTTCATTCCATTAATGGCCAAGCGGTTAGCATTCAGCTTTCCAAAAAAATGACCAATGAATGCATACCCAACACCGTGCATTGTTTACCAGTTACCGAGTGCTTATCCCCTGTTTTACAATGCTGATTTGACAGGCTTGCACATTCAATTTCTGGCATCCCCACACGCCCTTATTAGCACTTACTCCAGCGCACAAAGGCTGTGCAAGTTCCAGTCCCAGTCCCCACTTTAAACAATGCACATCACCATTTGATCTTGGGCAAGGCCAAAAAACAACTCTAACCTAAGTACCCGAGAACCTCAATGCTAAGCTTTGCAGTAAAGCATCTGAAAACATGCAGTTCCCGCAGAAAGAACAGAAATTATATTGCACAGCTTTCCACTGCAAATCCCAAGGAACTGAGGTTCTTTACATGGAGTGAAGTTAGAGCATGAAGCTTCAGGTCAGACCTCACAGCTCCCAATCACAACAGTGTACAAAAAACAGCACATCCAGTGTTTCAAGAAACGCTTCACATGCGGGAAATAAAGTTTTCCCAACTAAGAACCTCTGAATTATGTTCAAGCACGTGGTGGATTACCAGGATTTTCGGGGGAGTTAAAGAAAAACTGGAGCATGCCTGCTTAAGTCAAATTGTCATACCGAGGTGCTTATCTCCAAGCCCTGCAAATACCTATTACCGCTCCCATTTGATTCCCTGCGCTTTATTTCCAGCGTGCCTTTGAAAGTGCAGCTTTTCACTGCATACGTCAGCTTATTAAAGGAAAGCAAGAAAGGTTTTTACATTTAAAAAAAAAAACCAACAACCTGGATTTCAACTTTGAAAACATCTGGGTAAGGCAGTAACTGAGCTCTCATAAGAGTGATCAGCAAAGGGTTTTTTGTTTTGTTTTCTCCCCCCCCACTTCTCAAGCCAATGAACAGGAAGACCTTTCACAAGTCAAACTGTTTATCTTTTTTTCCTAAAACGGCGTTAAGCAGCCTGGATAGTTTTGATGCAGACTGGACTGCACAGTGGGATCCTTCGTTTACTTCAAGCAAATGTCTTCGCATTCCCTTCACTGCCTGGCATTCAGCTGAAACTTATTTCAAGCAGCTTCACTGTTGGGCTACTTGGACATCGATAAAAGTAAGTTCACCTGAAAGATGAAAGGAAAGCCTACATTAGACAGAGCAGCTAAGTTTCAGAACTGATGTCTTATATTTTAACCTTTAAACAGGATTCCTAGGAAGCACATAGAGTCTTAGACGGATCAGAAGACAGCTACAAAACAACTGGCCAAAATGTCCAGTCAAATGCCTTCTCACAGGCTTTTTAAAATGTGATTGTTGACCATGTTGACTAGTCATTTCAGCAGTCACAACCTACTGTGTCAAAGTTTCTAAGATGACTTCATGCGTTGTCAAGGAATTCCAAAAAATACGCGCACTGGCAAAACACGTTAACATTCATCTTACATATCTGACACACATTTGGGATCCTTTGCAATACTTGTTTCCCACAGATTACAATATGGTTTCCCATACACTTCAGTTTGTAGGAGAAGTGATCCCAAGGATTAACAGATAAACAGTTAGAGGACGCCATCTCCTCTAGGATAACCCCACCTCCTTCCAGTGCATCACTCACTCCCACTCTGTGCTCCAGGATAGTTATCACACATCCCTGTGGCCACATTCACTGCAGGCAATGTCCTCTAATCCGTAAACTAGATTATCTGTTTAAATATTGGCATCCTGGGATAATCACGATTCTATCCACATTCCCTGGACCACTAAGGTCAAAGCAAGATTTTTAAAAACCTGCTTGGTTTCTGTCAGAGCATCCTAATACAGAGAATTCTTAACCCAAATCATCTCTTAAGACTAAAGACCTTATCATGTAGGGTTACATTTCCATAAACATCTGCACATTTTCCCAATGCAATTTACTTCAAATGAACCCTTGTAATTCTTTCTCATGCTTCCTAAATGTAAAAGTTGCCACTTCCTGTATTTGTCAGAAGCAAGACTGCCCTCACACGCAGAGGCTTTTTTAATGTGTATTCACCAGCTTTGATATCTCTCCGAAAAGACAATGCCCAGAAACGGCAAGACTCTGCCATGACGTTGTACAACTCCATCCCCAGCAACATCGGTCACCACCTTCAGTTTAACAACTCTACTGGATATTCATTAGGAAAACCAAACAACCCCCCCTTTTAGCTGAGAGCCTAGAGTTCAGATGAAGCCCTGAGTTTAAGCATCCAGGACTAAGAGGGATAATAAATAAATAAATAAGGATTCTGAACACTGAAAATACTGAAAATGAAAAATTAATGTTTAAAAAAAGCCAGTCACATGAAAGAGCAACTGATAAAACAGGGAGCCTCAATATATACCTGTTCCATTGAAGGACAAGCTATGATCTGGAGATCTTCATTACTAAATTCTTCCTTTAACACAGCATGGAGTTTCTGGAACATTTGCTGAATGTTATTCTTTTAAAGGAAAGAAGAAAAAAGTCAATATTAAAAAAACACACCACCATCTCAAACATGAACCAGAATAAGCACAACGTACATGGAATAGCTACTGAAGTGACCA